GGAGGGGGAGAGGTTATTAGGCCGACGCATCGACTCTCCGCCACTTCCTCCACCACTCCCTCCCTCTCAGATCTCATCCAAAACAACCGCTGCGACGCGACGCTCCCAGAGCTAGGGTTTGATGACGACGCGCGAGTAGCAGATGTGGGCTCTCACCGCCGGCGACGAAGTGCTGATGGGGAGGCTTCAGGAGCTCAATGGCTGGTTCCTAACGGCGAAGGCCCTCAACGACGTGTCGGAAATGGTGAGAGACAAGCTCAGGGGGGAAGAAATCCTCCGCTGCTTCCCCAGCTACAGCGCCAGCCGGCGATGGGGGTGTTCCTCTGGGCGATGCCGGAGGCGGAGTCTCTAGATCCAGAGCAGAGGGAGAAGTGGAAGGTGTTCCGCTCCCTCCGCTACCGCCTGATCCAGCCGCGGGCGCCGCCGGTGCAGCCACAGGTGCCACCGCAGGCGGTGGTGATGGGGATTCCGTCTACTGGATCCAGATGGCTCCCAATCGAAATCGAGGAGGACGAAGTGCTGGCTTTGACTCCAAGACGCAGGGCCAGGACGCCAGCGACCCCAACCACGCTTCCCCGCCACTCCCCTCGCTTCCCGAGGCGCTCGCCTCGCCTCCTTGCCCTCTCCCGCCGCCAGTAGGACGCTCGCCGGCTGGTAGCCGTTTCTAGTTAATGGCCTGTGTTGGCCTTTTGGTGGGTTGTTTTTCATGTTGGTTGTGGGTTCTGTTCCGTTCTGTAATGTCTAGTACTTTGTTATGATTTCTACCCGTCTATTTGATATGTCGCTGGTTAACTGGATATTGTTTTTCGACGTTGTATGGTTTTGTAGGCTATAATGATTACGCACACGTGTAGATGAAAGGCACGAAAAAACAGTTTCAACAAAGACAACATAAATGATTTTTTACAAGTTTTATAGATGGAAACTTCTTTAGATGCAATGCAATCTCACAAACAACTCAGAAACAACTGTATGATTGATCATAAAACACATGCATTGTTGTTCAAAGAACTGTCTCATGAATAAATTGTACCATAATTGCGAACATAGTGTGAAACAGAAAAAAAAAATGTTTGTTTGCAACAAAATAATCCTGGTTTGAAGCTTAAACTGGTCTTGTAGTCCTAGCTGCTAGTACTTTATTACAAGTTTTAGAGTGGTTGGGCTTTTTTAGAATTGTTTTCGACTCCGAAAACAATTGAGCCTACTCCATATGGTCTTCTGCACTGCCAAAATCCAGTGACCTCTTGCGTTGCGTCGTTGGAGATTGCGTCGGGCTTGGCGATGACCCATGTGCTTCAATCTTTTCTCTTTAACATCAATGTAACCATACAACTGAAGTTTTTCTTGGTCTTTCTCCGCCAACTCTCTAGCAAGACCCTCCATTTCTTGGATTCTTACTTCATGTAGAAAACCATAGGAATTGTATTAGGAAGAACTCAAAAAAGACGTAGCCATAAACTAGATGCATGTAACATTTAAAATTTAAACCTCTGGAACAATGTCATCCTCGGGAAAAGTACCCGTAGTTCTATTGTACACAATGTACATGTGACATGTCTTGCTGCCATTCAGATCAGAAAGCATTTTTCTACATCATCTGGTCCTGCAATCAAGAACATTCCTTCTGCCAGCTTCCACGCGGACCCGGCTAAGAAGTAGTACAGTTCTGCTCCCATTTTGCAACCAAAAGAATCTCTCATTTCACTCATAATGAGATCGTAGGTCACTTTGGCGGGTTCAAAAATTTTGACTTCTGTCGGGTGTTCATCAAAGTATGCTCTCGGGACATGTGACATCTCATCATCCCTACTATTATCTCACATCAGAGTTAATACATTCAACGAGTAAAGGGGCAAACATAATTTTGTATGTGCATAGCAACATTGCGGCGTTGTTACCTGCTTTTGTGGAATGTATCCTTCATGTGGAGTGACTGGGGATTGTGCCATCTTAAACCTTCTCACCTTGTTATGTGGAATGTATCCTTCATGTGGTGTGACTGGGGACTCTGCCATCACAGGTTTCTTATCCTGCGTATGAAACGTCGACAGTGGGTTTACACACAAGTTTTGAAAGGTCATACCATATCTTGGCTATGCATCGTTGCGAGGTACTTACAAGGGGAGAATTGACGGTATGTTGTTGGGGTGGACTGATGTGGCAGTGAACGGGTGACTCTATCGCAATGTCTCGAGTGAATGGCGACTGTGCCGTCTCATGATGCTTAGCCTACATACAATCACCGACATAAGGTTGCCACAAATTGAAGATGTTTGTATCATAGAATACGTAGGTCCTTAATATATAGAATCGGTGCGAGATACTTACAGGGGGAGAATAATTGAAGACATGTTGTCGGGGTGGCCGTGAGATCACACGGTCTTCTAACATATGTCCTTCCAAGCGGACCTTCTCCAGCATGGCCTTATAATCCATGTCCGAGCGCTCCTGTAGCAGCTTACTGTCCATATCCGCACGTGCCTGCAACACATAGGCATCCATCCTGACTCGCTCTGTCTGTATAATACTGTCCACAAGCTTCCGGTCCTTCTGCAACATTTGATGCATTTCCTTGTTGCCTAAGACAAACTATTTTTCCATGTACTCATAGTCCCTCTTATACTTTTCTTCAATCTCAAGACGCATCTTCGCCATCTTACGGGAAAACTCCTCAAGCTCCTCCTTTATCATTCTGTCCACGTATGAACGTTCTTTTTTCAGTTTCTTATCTACCTCAGCGCGATCTTTTTGGAACTTCAAGTCGATCTCCCGACGCGCTTCATGCAAAGACTTGTCGTACTCCGCACGGTTGTTATGCGCCTCTGAGACCATGGTCCCTACAGCAACACATATACCCATAGTATGAAAACTGTATCCACAACCTCATCCAACTAATTCGAAACAATACGACTGACGGTGTCCTGGACTAGGGGGTACTCACCACGTCGTCTCCCGATCTATTAGATTGGGCCGAGGCCCCCCATGGCCGTATACTCATGGGCCAGTTTGGACAGCTGCCGCATACAAGGAAGATTCCACAAAGACTTGGCGATCAAGACAAGGACTTCTCCCCACCGGCATATTCGGCTAGGACTCTTGTTAACCTAGGCCTCTGGTGCATTATATAAACCAGGGCCAGGCTAGTCGATAGAATATATAACATACACAACATACAATCATACCATAGGCTAGCTTTAGGGTTTAGGCTCTCCGATCTCGTGGTAGATCTACTCTTGTACTACCATATCATCAATATTAATCAAGCAGGAC